AAGCCTCATTAAAAGGGCCTCTAAGAAAAATCCGTCGCTTTGTTCTTGCCGAGTTTCAACTCTTTCTTTCTGTGCGGCACCGAATGTACGTCGCATGTGCCATCAAAGAAGAAGCATCTGCTATTCATGACGCCGCCACCGAGTTTGGTTGTTTGCGTCTCGCTGCTGTGACATCAAAACTCGCACGCGAATACACACGAGTGTAGTCTCTTTTGCTCGCCGCATAACAAGATTCGTTCGACGCCGCCGTGTATGCAAGGGGCCCTTGAAAAGCCGCCGCCGCCGCCGCGCTGCTTATTTATTTTTCTCATTATTTCCGCCCAAAAGTCTCTCTCGCTGGAATTTAGAGATGGATGTTTGCTGAAATGGAGCCCTCGGATTAGTGCAGCTTGGAGGCATATTGACATTGCGTTTCGCGTGCAACGCTCTTGGAATTTATCCTCCTCCGTTATTCATGAGCACTTTTGCGAGCAATTGGCTTTTCCGACGGTGGCTTTTTTCCTCTTAAGGCTACACCGTTGATTTAAAGTTGTGAAATCGGAAGAGGAAACAGCGACACTTCCTGCAAAAACAAGGAAAACAGTCTGATCTTAATTGTTTTTACACAATTTTTATATGACATATAACTAATTTTTCTATAAATATTATAATTATCCTTTCAATTATATAAAAGTTATTCATTTATATTCCAAATTTTAATTCAATTAATGAGAAAGTTCCTATTTTGGTCTATCACATTTAAAATTTTTCATTATATTCCCAAGTAAACAACTTTTTAATTTTCACAATTAGATTATTTATAAAATAAGGACTTCGCTTTTTAAAATTTTGGCTGTGATTTACTCTGCTTTTTTAATTTACAAATTTAGTTACATCTAGTTTTTTTTTTCAAATTATTAATTCCCACTATTTTTTCAATATTTAGTGCAAAGAAATTAAACTCCTAGTTTTGCTATCGTATATAAATTTCAGTCGATGAACTTTACTCAAGAGTTAGAAAATCTCTTCTCCTTCTGGAATGCTATTAGATTTCAGAACCTTTCACCACCAGACGTGGAGGTGAACATGTTTTGCTCCCGTTATCTCTGACATTTAGCAAGTTTGTTCTGCTCGTCGGATTTCTCCTGGTTGGAAGTTTGCAGCAATAATTCCAGCGAGCACACACGTGTGTTCAACCGCTGAGTAAGTGTAGCCGGAGAAAATCCTAATTAAATATAGCATCCATTTAAGCGCGATTCGTAATAACTCGAGCCTGCTAACACACTACATAATTTGCGAGCGGCTCACAAGTTGTTCTCGAGATGTTTTGCTGCCTGATGCTTCTTGTTCTCTCTGCTCTTAGAGAAGGCGAGACGAGTAGTTTGGAGATTTGAACACCGAGTTTGCGAGAGAATTACGCCGGTAATGACGAAAAGAGGGAGCGAGAGTAATTTCACCCGCTAAGAGAATGTAGGTGTAGCTCTTCACTCAATTACGCGCAGGAGCTTTAAATGCTATCAACCCAGTTATTATTATAACTCATGAAGGAGCTTTTCTTCGAAAAAGTTCTTCAATGCTCTTCAGGTTTTAATTGGATCTCTTGAGAAAATTCTTAAAAAGGTAAACATATTGTTGATTTTCTTGGAAAATGAGCTCATGTTTGTTTGGGATTTTCAATTAATTTTGCATCCAAACTTTGAGAGAAATAATTTTTAATTAACGATACAAATAAATACGCTAGTACGAAGAATATTAAAATGTCACCAAAATGGATATAAATTTGATCTTATTGAATTATTTTGTCGGTTTCCACAAAGAAGTTGGTAAAACTTGACAGCATTAATGATGAGGTTATGCAACCTGCTGGTCACGCGTGTACCACCATTCATTTTGTTGCATAACTCACAGTGTCCCCTCGTTGTCCATTGTTGTAAAAAACAAGGTGATCGATCGATGCCATCTGCCCCAGCACGAAAGTTAGCGTCAAAAAAAGTTTATTCAATTATATCGAGACGGCAGGCAGAGGATTCTGGAGATCTTTTCGCCTCGCATTAGTCACGTGCCACTTGGAGTGTAATGTGAGAGTGACGGTGATACAAATTAAATTTGATACCAATTGTGCGGGATAACTTTTGCTCCCCGGGTGCCGGTCGCCATCAAGCCTAATTAATTGCGCGGGCCGGGGCAAAAATATGAGGCGCGTGCGTGGCACTTTTTGCCGGCGAGCTTTAATGGCCACAAGTGGCAGAGAAAAATACTTCTCTCTCCCTCGATGTAATGTGGTCACTCGTCTTTTTTTGGGGCGCGGCGACGACGCCTGAGGAAGGTCGTCGACTCGGTCAGACCTCGGATTAAAGGCGAGCGCCTACCAAGGATATTTTTTTATTTTTCATCACATCTTTTTTTTCTAATTGCAGAAGATGAAAGATTAAAAAATCGCGCCTCACAGATTTCTTTGATGAGGATGCTTTTTTTCTAAAAGTATAAAATTTTCATTAAACTTGAGTAAAGCGTGACACACTTCTTTTGGCGCACAAACATGAAATATGAATATCCCCTCGGGCGCTATTATCCTAAGTGTTGGGGCAAAAAGTGGCTCGCGATTCTCAAAGAAAAGTTTTCTTTCTTTCTTAGAAAGAAGCGAAAAAGAAGAAGCTGCTCATCTTGTAGATAAAACGTCGGCGGCAGTTGCGCTCCAGTTGCGATGAGCCAGCGAACTTTGCTCTCAGCGTCATCAAGTCAAGGTGCACAAAAAGGGTTAATATCCAGTGTCTGCTTGGTTGCTGCTAAAACAATAACAACTCGGTGAACGTCAGCAGCGTACGGCTGCCGGCGAAAACTATTTAAGTACCCTGGCGGTGTGCGGCCCCATTTGTCCTGCTCGTTCACTCTCCTCAAGCCAGCATGGAGCATAGTAAACATTTTTTTCATTAAAAAAATTAAAGATTGTGACATCGATTCAAATAAATGTGACGAAAGCATTTCCAACATGCGATTAAGATATATTTTAAAATTTTTTTAATTAGTAATTATCATTGTTCGTCATGCAAATTTTATAAAATGTACAAAAATAATTTGTATTAATATTTTATTCTTAAAAGCTTTTCTGAATTAATTTTAATGTAATATAGTTCAGTTCAGTATAAATATAAAAACTATTTAATTATTTGTACGATGTGTAGAAATGCTTTAACTATATCAATTAGTTCTATCTTTAATCTTATCAAAATAAATTTTTTTTCTCAATTTTATTTTATTTTCATTAAACTTTTAACAATATACTATTTTTCCTTTTTAATGCTGATTAGCCGTGTCACCTGCTCTACCTCTGTAGTAACTTTATGAGCGTTAAATGTCGAACAAAGGGTACATTTTAGTCCAAGCGAGTAATGACGCCGCTGTTGGTGCTGCGCTTTTATTGTTATTTTATTATGGCTGCGCTTGAAACTCGCCGACTATTTATTCTCTTGGGCAATCGCTTACTTAATATGCATTAAAGCGCTTGCAATGCATTATGCATCGATAAAAAAGCAGGCAAATTATAATATAAATAACCGTTTTGCCGTGTGTTCCTATTTCCACACAGCAGCATGCAAAGTTATTCGGAAAATTGCTCCATAAATTACTTCCGATAAATTGTGTGAGTGACGGTGAAAAGAAAACGCGTCTCATGCAGCACTTTTGCAAAGATACTACAAAATCGAATTGCATTTATGCATTAGAAATGCTCTATTCCGATATCGGTTTGTTTACCTTCGATCTATTGCGCAAATTTGAACTCGATACCACGCGAATTTGAATTGCTTTTGAAAAATGCATGCGCTCGAAGAAACTGCCTCGTTTTCTATTAAATATTCACAACGTTCTGATAGGTTTGCGATGCAGGCAGGAAAACGTGTTGCTCGCGATGATGAAAGATGCAAAAGCATCCTCTTGATGCAAGCAAATTGCATTACATTGCATTGAAGGGCTCTTGACCAACTTTTGCGAAAGATACGAGTTCATAATGAACAAACGAGCGCTTACCGTTTATTGAACTCAAACACTAACAAGCAAAGTTAATTTACTTTTCAATAATCTTTATAATTAATTGAATTACCATAACTACTTCAAAAAATTGGCTCCATTTTTTAACACCAATTCAATAAAATAAAATAAAATATCATTTTTTTTAAATTTATTTGTCATATTTATGATTTTGAATGGCAAACTGGCTATCGCCAGGCCTTTTTCTGCGCCTTGCACGTGACCAGAGCCCTTTGCTCCCTCCTAAGGTGAAACTCAGCCTCTCTCTCCCACTGATAAAGCTCCCTCTCCCTGAGCAACTGCTCCTTGACCTCGACAGCCTCCTCCCTTTTCCTCCTGCGTGCCTCCTCCAGCAGCCCCTTGTGGAACTCCCTCTGCATTTCGATGACCTTGCGTCTGACCTCCTCTCCGTGCTCGGTGCTCAGGGTCTCGCTCAGGGGCTCGTGTTTGTTGTCCGTCAGGTACTTGATGGTCTTCAGGGTCTCTCTGCGGCGCTGCAGCTCGGCCTGTTTCTTCTCCTCCTGCTGCCGCTTGGCCTCCTGTTGCTGCAGGTGCCTCTGGAAACGCGCCTCCCTCCGAAGGGCGACGGCCTTCCGGTGGTACTGCTCGGACACCCATTTGTCGAAGGCCTTCTGCTCTTCCATGGCCTTCAGGAATTTCACCTCTTCCTCCGCTAGTTGTCGTCCTTTGAGCTCTGCAAGATACCGAAGCAACTCTTTGTGCTTCCGCACTTTTTCACTCACTTCTTCGCGTCTCTCCTGTTCAGCCAAGACTTTCATTTCTTGAAGTTTCTCCTTCTTTTCCCTGCAATAAAAGTCTAATGAATTTTTTAAATTTTTTTTGTATGGTTCAAATTATAAAATATTTTTATTTTTCAATTTAGGAAAAAAAGAATCTTGAAAACATAAAATTTGAATTTAAAAATTATTAAAAAGAATGCCAAAATGACATTTTTTTTTACATTGAAGAAAAAAATAGACACTTAAAAATAAATTTCACCTGATGGCCTTTTCGCGCAGCTGCTGCATGTACTTGTCGTTCTGCTTGAGCATTCTGACCATTTTGGCGCTGAATCGTTTCTCCGCCTTTTGCACGGCCACCTTGGCCTCGTACTCCTGCCTGATCTTGTGCATGGCCACGCTCTGCCGAAAGTCGTTCAGCTCCTGCCGCTTGCGTGTGTACTCGATGCGGGCATTGACCTCTGCCCTGCGTGCCAACTCGACGATGTAGCGCTTCCGCTTGGCCAAACGCTGCTCCTCCTCGAGCCGCTTTTTGCGCATCTCCTCGCGTTGCGCACGCATCTTGGCCTCGCGCTGCATCCGCTTGAAACGGTTCTCAGTCTCGGTCGGAGGTCGCAGACGCTTCTTGTACCTTTTCTTCTCCTCCTTTTTCTTCTCCTTGAACACGGAAATGCGTCTCTGCCACTCGACCTGAGACTTTCTCTGCTCGGCCTGTCGTTTTTCCAACCTAATTTTTTTTTTAATTAATTAAATCTTAAAAAAAATGAACACTCACTTTTCCTTGATGGAGTTCTGCCTCTCCATCTGCATGCTGAACTGCCTTCGCCTCTCCTCCTCCAGCTCGTGCTTTTTAGCCTTTTGCAAATTCTTGATGTCCCTCATCAGGTTGATCCAGGCCCTTTTGTTTTGCTCCTTCTCCTTTTCCTCTCTCTTAGCCTGCATGACGATGGTGACTCTTCGCTTCTTAAACTCCTCCACCTTCTCCTTTCGCTCCTCCAGGTTGGCCTGGACGCTCATGGCCGTCTTCTGGTCTCGCACCGCACGCACCTCCTGCACCAGCGACTTGTTCTTCTGGTCCTCCAGGTCTTGCAGCTTTTTCATCTCCATCTTGATCTTGAAGTTCTCCTTGTGCGTCTCCAGGGCCTGCGCCCACTTGGCCTTCAGGGCGTCCTCCATCATGTCCATGCCTCGCATCTCGCGCTGCAATTCGTCCTGCATCACCAGCCCTTCGACGGCGATCGACCGGCGCCGAAAAACGGAAGACTTTCGTCTGGCCATCGGTGCCAGCGATTTCCGCCTCTCAAGAGGGTGCGCCAGGTTTTGTTGGCCACCTTCAGCGCCATCTCGTTTAGGCGAATTCTCAAAATTCTCAGGTTGATCTGTTTCGTCGTCCATGCCTTTGAGAAGCTTTTCAAAGTTTTGCAACAATGAGCAGGTTCAATAATCATAAACTAGCAACAATCAAATCTAATTTTTTTATTGTTGAAAAGCTTTAATTCAATTTTTTTTTTACATATATGTATATTTAGTGTTTACTTGAAAGTGTCTTATCATTAATCACAATTTGGGCGTTTTTATAAATGAATCAAATAATTAATGATAATTTTGAAAAATAACGATCAAAAATGAAATAAATGACGTTCATGTATTTCGATGCTATTTTCAATTTTCATTTTTTTAACGTAGCAACAAACATAAAAAAAAAATGAATAAACAAACACTCTACGATGAAACGGGAAAACAGATAAAATACACAACTGCTGCGAACTCCGCTCGTAAATCACCAGACGGCTGTTTTAAATTTTCCCCACTCGTGACAGCCGCAAATTTGGTATTGGAAGATAACAAGGTTGCATAAATCGTGGAGGCGGGGAGCGAAAATTTAATACTTTCGACGCAAATGCGAAGATGGACGATAAATTCGGCTACGCTGACACCTGCGTTGCTTTCGGAAAAGAGAGCAAGGAAGAGGCGAAAAATTCATATATTTTCTCCGAGCGTAGGGTGAGTGATACATCAAAAATTTATTATTCGCGCTCGCGAGCGTGCTAATTTACAGCGCTGGCGGCGTCAGGTGCTCGGGCGATAACTCTTGCATCTCGAATTATTACGGCACATGCAAAAAAGCGCGGGCCGAGCTTTGTTCACCTTTTGTTCTCAGTCATTTTCATATCCAACAAAGGGCCGAGGAAGCAGCTCGGGCCGATGGCGGGCGGAAGCGCCTCTTTCTCCCATTTTTTACGTGAGCTCAAAGAAAGTCAGTCGCCGGCGAATTGTCTTGTCAAGACGGCGAAAGAAGCGTGAGGCGCAAAAGTCCCACTTTTTTACTGTCGCCCTCCTTCTAGGGGAGAGAGAGAAAGGAAGAAAAACATCAGCCGCCAACCCCTAAGTTAGGGGTCAAATTGCGCCTCGCATGCTGTTTTTTCTCTCAATGGTTTCCATAAAATTTATGGCGGCAATTGACAGTCACTTGTACTCCTTTTTCCGTCCGACGGCCATTCCGGGAGAGAGAAAAAAACAACTGCAGTAAAAAGAGGCGACTGCCGGGGGTGGTTTGAAACATTTATGCACCCGAAAAGCAGAGAAAAGAAGTTTGTTTTAAAATTTGGAGAGCCAAAGGTGGACATGAAAGCAAAAGCTCTCAGCCGAATTGCATAATTAAAGCTCTTTTTATCAGACCCGGGCAATTTCGGCTGTCAGAAGGGAGCAGTGCCCGGAAAACCGATGTATTTTTAATGAAAGTCTGTTTGTCGTGTTGGACTCGGCAATTATACATAAAGGCCGCGTGCATGCGTGTGCTGCAATTTGCATGGCAAGTGTGTCGAAATTGATAAGAAATTGTTTTGCCCGACGAATGTATGTTATTACGGTCCATTAGGGCTTCCATCGCCTGTAGGGAGTGGAACTTGAGAGGAAATTGCCTGAGAATTTTTACGACTTCTCCGGATAAATTTCTAAGGAAGGCTTTCTAAGCTTTTTAAAAGTTTCTTAGATAGAAATACACCAAAATTTATTATAATTAACAAACCAGAGTAAAAAAATGAGGTGGCAATCATTGGAGGAAAAAAATTACAAAATTATATTAATTATTTGATAGACACCTTTAAAAAATCCAATTTTATACTCACATTCGTGTTGTTTGTAATGATTACAGATTATTTAATTGAATTGAATTTTTTTTTATAAAATTTGATACATCTCTTTTGGAAATTAGTCCTACTTACATGCAAGTACTGCACCGAGTACAAATTTTAAATTTTTTCTCTTTCCCCGTATAGAGAAAGAATCAATTTGATTGGCGTTTGTTCTCTTTCCGAGAGACACGATCCAATTTGGGAATGTCTTCGCCGCTGTCAAAAATTGCCTTTGCAGCCGGTGCGCGCCTCCCCCGATCTAAACTTTCCATTTTTCTTGTTTGATTTTTTCTTCGGTGAATCGCTTGAGGCGTGAGTTTCGATCTGCGAATTAAGAGCGCGCAGTGATTCTGCCCGTTCCAATTTTCCAGCCGATAACTTTGACTCCCCTCGCGCTGTATTCCATTATTATTTGTTGTTGTGTGTGTGTATCTAAAAAGGCATCATTTCGGCGAGTGCATAAATCTTGCCGAAAGGAATTTGTCTCTCTCAACGGAGCAGCGCAGGCGGCGGCAAAGAGGAAAAAATCCCCTGCCTGCTATTGAAACGTCACGCGCGGAATATAATAAATATTTTAGAGAAAGCTAGGGGCCGCCCGGGCGCCGGCGAAACTACTTTCTGCCGACGCAAATTTGCATAAAGGCAACGAAAGAAAGAGCGGCGGCCGTCACACGAACGCCGCAAAAGAGCTGAACGTCACGCTCTTTTTCTGCGGCCGGTTAGCGAATTTATCACGTCAATCGGCGCTGATTGATAAGCGAAAGCGCACACCCGGATTAATTATGTGTGGCGCCGCCGACTGCCCTTTTTCCAAACTCCTTCAGCCGAAACCGACTGCGCGTTACAATCGCTGAAAGCCTATCCCAACCCATTAATCAAGGTATGGCAAATTTCCGCTTCGCAAATATCATAAAAGTTGGAAAATTTAGGATGATTTTGATTATCATTCCATTAAATTTCGGTGTGAGATCATAAATGAATTAGATAAGATAATTGTTGGAAAAATAGCAAAATACAGCTAAATCAATACAATATTTTTATACATATATCAAATTTTATTTGGGAATAACCATTCAAAAATTAATTTTTGGCTTTTGGATTTCCTCTTGGTAAATTGATTTTTTTTTTTTAAATTGATACAATTGACTTTGCCCAGTCATCAAATGAACTAGCAATTATTTATCTATCAATCAACTTTGAATTTAGTTATAGTTTGAAATCAAATTGCAATGATTTTAGCAAGTGGTATAAAATTATACAAAAGTAATCCAGCTTGAAATGAATAATTGGATACAACAGCCATAATTATATAATCATTTGCGAAACTTTTGATGTTTTATGACGGCGTGTCGGATTTCGTGGCCCTCTTCTTGTTATTGCGCAACAAAGATCTGTTGCCTCTCGCGCGCGTTAATGGAAGAACCAAATTTCACTGGCCGCGTGTGAAAATTCGTCAGGCAGCTGTGGCGAAAGTCGGTCGTTCTCAGACACGCCACGCGCTCTTTTACGACGCCGTGTATATGTACCATGTATTTCAATTACGCGTATTAACAAGAAGTTTTCGCTTGATTAAAAACAACACAGCCTGCAAGTTTCGTAATAAACAAACACACAATTGCGTGATTGCGGACGTCGGGCGGCAGAATTGTTTTCGGGAATTCTCGTGTCGGCCGCTCGTTTCACTGTCATTGTTTTTCCTTTCCTGCAAGCAACTTCTGCGGTTACGATTTTCGCCGACATTTCTGCTGAAAAACGTCAGTCACTTGCACCAACTTCTTGCTTTACTTTGAATAATTTCGTTTCTATTTACTTAGAAATAGAAATGACCTCTGTTGATATGAGAAATATAACGTCACGCAAATACTTATTTGGAAAAATTTACTGCAGTTTATTGGAGTCGTAAAAAGTTCCAGTTATTCATGAATTTTTTATTTCAATCAAGGTTGTCCGCATTTTCAAAAGAAACAAGGTATAGAATCTAGAAAAGAAGTTATAGACCCCCCGAATTAATTTGCTGCAAATTTTATCAACTTAATTTAGGCTAATTGTGAAAATAAATCATTCTAGAAAATTCCCCTAAGAAGTTATGTTGAATTAAAAAAAAATCAATTCTCCTAATTCATCCATTTTTTCTTGTAATATCTCCTTTGAATAAAAAATAAATAAAATATAACAAAATCAATTAGGCTGTTTTTTTTTAACAGAAATTTCAATTCATATAAATCAGATATCTCATTTTTTTATTTTTGTTTAATTACATATTATTTTTATTTAAAAATTTTCAATTTTCAATAATTTCCTATCCTCAACATCATTTGTTAATTTTTTTTTAAATTTTCTGTAGTTTTATAATTGTTTAAATATATATTTTTTTTAATTGAGGTAGTTTCAGGGAGTTTTGTAAATATAATACTTTGCATGATACGGATGACCAGCAGCAAAAAATTTGAGGACGGCGAAGGTTGAAAATTGGAATAGCCGTAGATGACGAATGGACGCACTTATTTAGTGGGGTCGGGTTGAGAGTCGGATAATGAAAGGGCTCGTTTGCGCGCCCGTCGGTTGACTTTATCTCGCTTGTGCCGCAAAATGGGCCAAATTCTGCTAGTTGAGGTTATTGCGGCGCCATCAAAAGAGACGAGAGCAATTAATGCACATTGTTAAGTTACGTGGACAATTTTAATGAGCACTGCGAGTTCACAAAACGGACGGACGGACGGATGGAAAGCCAAAAAAGCCCGAAAGTAAATTAGCAGTCAGTCATCTCGCTCGGCCGTGTCCCTTTCCGCGGAAAAATCACTTCAGAGAGAAATTTTTATTCCAGGGTGGAAATAAAACGGTTTGACTTTGAGTGTTTCAAAGGTTTAATTACTTTGCGCGGGCCTTTTTAACCTTCTCAAAAACTGGCTTTTAAATTAAATTTCCCCGACCTGACGTGATTACAAATGGAACGGTTTTTCTCTCTCTCCGACCGTTTTTTAAAATTAATTGGATCAGGCGTTTGCTTTTTGTTTTCTGCCTCGATTGAAGCCTTTGAATTATTATTTCGCAGCGTCTGCGAATTAGGTTCGGGTCAAAGCGTAATTTCAGTGATCGATCGCCGAATTACAATTTGCACTGCGCCTTGTCATGTGCCGGCGGAAAAGTATAATAAATAGCACGGGCCGGGGGCTGCATTAATAAAATTCGGCGCAAAAACAGGAAAGATATCAATCATCATCGCAGCATGCTGTTGTTGTTTGGGGCATTTTTCTGACAGCG